CCAAATATACTCAGGCACATGCCCACACCCACACCCATATCCACACCAAATAAATACTAAGAAAAAGTGATTTCATGTCTGTGAACTCCTAGGCTGTGTTTCAATTCTTTTTTCCCCTTGGGCAGTCCAGGTAGTTGCTCTTCCAGTGAACCATATTTCCTCCAGTCCAGGACTGGGTTAATTCTTAGTTTCCCTTTTACATTTTATTTAGTTTATTCTCTGGGTGTACTCTAAGATGGGAGTCAACTCTGTCCCTTCATTATGTGGGTCCAATTCTGGTGGTCAAGTTTGGCAGCAGGTGCCTCCACCCACTGAGACATGTCACCAGCCCAAGAGATTACGTTAATTCTGAAATCAACCCAGTGTACTCTTTTTCCATACTCAGCACATTTGTAATGAAGTTGAGGGCTGTGTGTCTATTTTATTCATTGCTATTAGCCCCTATCCTCAACACAGTGCTGTTGTTCTGTTCAGTCTGTTCAGCCTGGCAGTGGTGGCGCACGCCTTTAATCCCAGCACTCAGGAGGCAAGGCAGGCAGATCTCTGTGAGTTCGAGACCAGCCTGGTCTACAGAGTGAGTTCCAGGACAGCCAGGAATACACAGAGAAACCCTGTCTTGAAAAACCAAAGAGAGAGAGAGGCAAAAGAAAAAGTCTGTTCAAAGAGTATCTTTAAATTGATTAAAAAATATGAATAAAGCCCACTTTAACCCAAATTATACTTTCATCTGTTTCCTTATATCAACCCAATTCTAAAATATTGACTAATCATTTGGCCTGTCCTCAATGCATCTCAGTAATGTTAACCAAATGTATTTCTCATTCCCATCTCCCCATTACCTACAGAATACAACTTAAAATTCCTTGGTGTGCACCCAAAGCTTTGATCGAAATCCCCTTTCTTAAAAATCCTCTTATCAATTTCTTATTACATACCAAACACTAAGCTAGTTCCCAAGCAACTTTGAAGACAAATACACTAATTTTAGCAGGGTGTGATTAGTTCTATTGGAGTCTATGAGAACACGGATAGTTTCAGACAATGGATTATAAAACATTAGGCTTTTTACCAGCTCCAAGTTCACACATTCAGTTAAGTACAGCATCCAATTCAGCGGCCATCTGCACATTTCAAGCACTTGACAGCCATACAAGGCTAGTATCTATCATATTGGACAGTATCTACCATATTCCATCATTTGTGGAAATGGGGGTTACCTATAGGTGCTTCAAAGAAAGCATGGACCATCTTCCAAAGATTGCAAGACACACTCTCAAAGAGATCAAGGACCAACTCAAACACTCCAAATGTGCATTTTAAAACATCACTTGCTCCAAAAACATAATGCATCAAAGTAATTTCTAAAGTATTAATATAGAAATGTGATATAATAGGTTTAGTTCTTGACTTAGCTGTTTTCATGAACTTCTCCCATCCACACAACTTATGACACAGGGCTCTGAAAATACTCACCAGGGAAATATTTATTTCAGGGCTACAAAAATCCAGATAATACCTATCTTGAGGTTGTTCATCCAGGCCCCTACTCCATCACCTGCCTTCTCTGCCACTTCCCTTTTAAAAGAAAAAAGAAAAGAAAGACTCCAGAAGATTTTTAAGACACAACAAAATGTTTATTTTTGAGACTGGGAATTATGGCAAATCTAAATAGTGGGCATTGGACTTTCCTCCTCGGGGTCTTCTAGGAAATCAGAAGCACCTCCCGGTGCTTCCGTGCGATGCTTTCCCAGTTTAGCAATCAGTTCTTTCGCTGGATTGAAGACGCCATTGGTCTGCTGGTCACAGACATAGCAGCGAGAGGTGGTGCGGAAATGCTGCAGTGCACATTTCTCGCAGAAATAATGCCTACACTTGGTGACAACAGGGTTTTGGAAGGTCTGGCGACAGATGAAACACTTGAATGGTATTTCCTCATCATCGCTTCCCACTTCGTAGTTTTCCTCCTCATAGACACCATAGCGACCCTCATCAAGCTCACGTTCGATCTGCCACCCGTGCTTGTAATCTGAACGGTCATGGAGGAAGGGGCAGCTGTCCCCGAAGCCGCAGAATCCAGTCTCTTTGTAGTCCTTGCAGATGTCGGGCTGGTAATCCCAGCGCACGGTGGCACGTAGATGCTCGGGAGCTCGGATGGGGCCCTTCCTCACCATGCCGGAGGAGGCATTGCCCATGGATGTATCCTTGGGCTTCACGTATTTCTGGTAATTATTGATTCCCCGATAGATCTTGTCATCCTCCTTGCCTCTCAGCTCTTCCTGGATCTTCTGGCTCCGTTCAAAGATGGATTGTGCATCGCGCTCCTTCTCAGTGTCCAGTTCGTAGACAGCCGTCGCCCCCATATCCTCGGGCCCCACGGGTTTTGCCGAACGGGTCGACTTGTAGACCACGCCGAGCTGCTCCTGTTCATTCTCGTCCTCGCTACTCAAGCCGCCGTAGTTCGCCCTCTGTTTCCCGCTGCCACGCGTCTTCTGGATCATCGGATTGTGGGTCGCCTGCTTCTTCTCCGGTCGGACCACAGCGCTGCCTTCGTCGCTGCTGCTGCCGCTGTCCCCGGACCCCTCATCACAGTGCCGGCGCTTTCGGCGCCCCGCCGCCCCTTTCCGCCCAGGCTTTTTGAAGAGGAACGTGCATACCTGGCCGGCCGAACTCCCTGGAGAAAGCTGCTCCGCCATTTGAGATCACCAAGCTCTGGAACAGCCGCCGCGGACCGGACCGCTTCGTGCTCTTCTCTGCCGCAGTGAGA